GAGCTTGAGGCCCAGGCCAAATGGCCCTCCTCGCCCCCCCTCTGATTGGCCTTGGCTGCTGCAGCTGTCCAGTGGGGGAGTGAGCTGGGCAGGGAACCTGCTGAGACCACTGCAGTGACAGAATGCAGGGAGCAGGGTCATGGGGCCCTCCCCCAACTCCATCCATTCAGCGCTGCCTTGGGGCATGCAGGCCCATCTGCTTCCCACTGTCCTCTCCAGTGCCAGGTACCTCCCACCCCCTTCCCTCCATGGGGCACCTCCTCCCCCCGCCCCTGCCATGAGTGCCATGTACTCCTCCCCCTGTGAGTAGCTGGGCCAGGGCTTGTGTCACTGTCTGGAACAGTGCCCCATGGCACTGAATTACATCTGCTTCACCCACTAGACAGAGACCCCTCCTGCCCCCAGGCCAGGAACAGGACCTGCTGCTGGCGGGTCTGCGTCTCCTGGCATCAGACCTTGTGTCCCACCTCTGTGACAGGAGACATGATGATTTTAGGATGGGGGTACTGTTGAAGTGCTGATTCCTGTTTAGTCTCTTTGGCATCCTTCAGGGCAGGGCCGGCTCCAGGCACCAGCACAGGAAGCAGGTGCTTGGGGCGGCCAATGGAAAGGGGTGGCACGTCCAGGTCTTCAGCGGCAATTCGGCGGCGGGTCCCTCAGTCCCTCTCGGAGGGAAGGACCACCGAATTACCTCCGAAGAATGAAGCGGCGCGGTAGAGCAGCTATCAAAGTGCCGCCGATCACAGCTTTTTTTTTTTTTTTCTTCGCCGGTTGGGGCGGCAAAAAAGGTGGAGCTGGCCCTGCTTCAGGTGCTAGAAACCCATTTTCTGGTTGCTGGAGGAGGCCTTTTCTGAGCCAGCGTGGAAAAGACACTTTGCAAGGACCGCTGTGAAATTGTGCTGCACAGGCCTTTGGGAATTCACACTGAACCCTGTGATAGGAAGTGCAACTGCCCAAGTCACCAACAGGAAACGGATTTTTGTTTGTTTTGTAATGGGGATTAGAGATAATGATTTCACAAACAACAAACTCTCATTTTTCTCTATTTGTTGCTTTTTCCTGTCCTACCATCCCCCCTATTAATCCTGATATATACCTGGGAAGCTGTGAAGTTAATTTTTTGCACTGCTTTTCACCCATTTTTAATTTTTTTGAGAAACATTGATAAATTCCTAGGAAATAAAAAAAAATAAAAAAAAGGAAAATGGCACTCTACAAGTTCATTAGTGCGCTTTGATCTACTCCACTTTGAAATGGGAATAGATCAAAGTGCACTGCTAGGAAATTAGCAGGGTCCATATGGCCAGTTAGTGCATAGCAGGCTAGTGCAAAGTAGATTTACAGCCCTGCTGACTGCCCAGCAGTCATCAACACAAGGGTTTATGACTTTAGGGTTCCTTTTGGAGTAGTGCGGATGCTGTATGTAAAACAAAAACAACCACCACAGAAAATGCATAGCTCACATCAGGTTCTCACACACTCTAGTACATTGTATGGCATGAAGAAGAACACCAGATGCCTTAATCCATTTGATAAGCATAGATGTTCAGTTGGATGACACTGTTTGAAGAGAGTAGTCCCTTTATCAATTGTTTTTTAAAAACATGTTGGCAACAGCTAGCTAACCCTAACCCTTTCATTGCTCAGTCACTAGCTTCTTTCTGTCTTTCATCTAATCTAGCTATCTCTGTCCATTTAATCTAGCCTACACCGTCTTCCCCTCCCCCAGTCCTAATGTGCTTGTTGCTGTAGTATTGCAGATTAAAAGATATCCTGTCAGTGAGTATGGCCCATCTCTACTTCCACAGGGTTGTATTTCTCAGGAGCATGTGAGGTGGGGGATCTCAAGGGGACTTGGGAGATGCTAACCCTAGGGTGACCAGAGGGCAAGTGTGAAAAATCGGGACAGGGGGTGGGGGGTAATAGGTGCCTATATAAGAAAAAGCCCCCCAAATTGGGACTGTCCCTATAAAATCGGGACATCTGGTCACCCTAGCTAAGCCCTTCTGTATGTATCTTCATTTGGGCAAGGCCTCTGCAGCATGGTATGGCTTGTACTGACCTGCAAAGAAGGCAAGACACATGCTCATCCTGAGCTCCAGGGGAAGACGTTTCCCAGGTGAATGTCCCGCAACCAGCAATACCCTGCCCCAGCATCCAGGGGTTTTCCCTTGGGTTCTGTCACTCCATTGACGAGAGCATTCTTAACACTTCAAATGTGGCCCACTGTAAAATGTTTTTTCCATTTGGTGGGGAAAGTTCTCCAGAATTTAAACATCTAGGGTCTCTTTTTAAAACAACTGTCCTATCACCAAGAATTCCACGGGCATTATTTTTATAGGAACAAATGTTTTGTGCTACCCCTACCAGGGAACAACAAACACTGCTTTCCTGATCTGTGCTGATATTGTCTCCAAGTCTGGAGCACACAATGCCATGTTCATCTCAAGGTTCATCAGAACTACAGAGCAAGAAAGCAATACTTGCTCAGTGGAAAGAAGAAGAAATCAGTTGCAGCAGAAACGATATTCACAAACCCCCACAATCTAACTGCAATAAGACACTTGGCAACTGTTGATGTGAAGCCAGAGGAAATGACTGGATGAACGTCTCTCGTTGCTTTAAAGCATTATGAAAAAGCTGGTCTTGAGGATCTGGAGTTCTTTAAATGAGGAATATATAAGGTCCCATTAGAGCCCAGTATGATACGGTCACTGTGGAATGAGAGATGGCAGAGTCACCAGTTTGGGTAGGTCATGGGATCTCAATAGCCCCTGATTATTTCCAAACAGGAGCTTCTCACCAGCTCCCTCTGATTCAGCCAGTAAGTGGTAAACAATTCGTCTGCAGTGGTTATCCTCTCCTGCAAACCCTCTCACCTTCTGGAATGTAACAAGCCCACATACTTCCACCCTTTATTTGCTCAACCAGCCCCTTTAGTCTATGTTCAGATGCCTGTTCCAAAAGAAGTTGTTAAAGAAGGCCATGCAATTTAACGATCCCATGCTGGTGGGGTGATGGGGGAACCCCTCTGGAATACATGTCCTTGTAACATGCTATGCCTATGAGTGGGAGAATTTAAAGTCATTTCTGATGTAGCCAGATGTTGGCGGTGTTAGGAACTCCAGGCTTGGATTGCTAGCATCTTGGACAGTAACCTCTGGGGAACTGGGCTGGCCTGGGGAGAACGGTGTGAAGTCTTGGTGGTTGCTGCGGATTGTGGCAGCTCCTGAACCCCTCCCTCTTGGCGGTCCCTGAATGAATTATCACTGTACTTTACTAATTCCCTTAGGGTGAAATTCACCCCCATGCAGAAGGCCAGCACAAAGCATCACTGAGGGATTCAGTGGTGCCGAGGCCTGGCTTAGCATGGGATGAATTTCACCCTTATTTCTTAATCCCAGACTGCGTGCTGCTTGATGCACAAATAAAGAAATACGTGAATATCCAAGGGCCAGTTGAAGACTGGACAGGAACACACTGGGAGGCCTAAAGAACAGTGATACCTCAGCATAGTTATGCTCCAGTCCTTGCTGTTGTTTTCTATGCATTAAGGTGGGATGGCAGTATACTGAAGTGGGTTAGTGTCTGTGGGCCTCGTGGAAGAATGGAGTGAGCAGGAGGGATTTGGATGGAGAAAGTGGCTATCTGGTGCACTGGGCTGGGGAAGGAATGCTGTGTATAGAGGATGGCAGGTCTTTTCTTTTAGGAGAGTCGAGAGGCTGTAGATTAAAATTTTCCAAAACTACCTGCTCAGAACTTAATGGTCCCAACTTCTGGAACCTATGACTCTTGCTAGATTGAACTGCGTGGCCTAGGCAGAGGGCTCTGGGCAATGGAATAGCTCCTCCAGGAGAAGAATGAGCTGACTTCAATGGGTGTCAAGCACATCCTTAAAGTCAAGGATGTGCTTAAGTGCTGTGCTGAATCTGGGCCTTAATGCGGAAAGACGCAGGCAGCCAATGGAAGGATCTGAGGGTGGGGGAGCTGGCACAATTGGAGGAGTGGTGGGGGAAGAACACTTTAGCTGCCGCTTGTGTAGTTTGGAGAGGTGAGAACCAGGTGGGCCAGAGAGGAGATTCAATGACTATAAGAGCTACGAGTTGTCACAACCACCTGAACTAGTGGTCTAGCAGAGGAGGGACAGGAAGGAGCAGTCGTTAGAGGGAGCAGGGAGAGGATGTGGTGAGACCACTGTGGCTGTGCACCGTTAGCTCCAACGCTTCGCTCCAGAGGCTGTGTTCCTAGATATGCTCCGGTAAGTTCACCCTGCGCTATGTCAGCTTCCCCCTAGAGAATCCCAGCTGCAGAGCAAAAGTCCTTTTAAAGGCACAAGGGGCTTGCAGGGGAACGCAGAGCCAGCATTGCCGCCAGAGCAGGTGGCCGTGACGAGGGAGGGGCGTAGCGAGGACAGCTCAGGGATGTCCCAAAGGAAGTGAGTCAGTGGGATAGTAATGCACTTTGGATTCATTCCTTCTGGATTGAAGGTAGTCTGTGATTGCAAGGTTCCTCGTACTGACTCCTCTCCCTGCATAACAGTCATGCTATCAGGTGTTCTGGGAGGCACTGACTAATTTCCCAATTGCCAAGACCTGTCATACAGGACGGGCAAAGACTCCTCGGTGGGAAGGAAAGGCAATAGTTAATGTGAAAGAAGACTAAATAGTCTAGATTGGATCTGACTCTCACAGCTGCTCTCTGAGATTAGCCTTTGTAAGGCAGAGGGTGGCTGGAACAAAGAAAATAGCCCTTCCCACTGTATTTCAACCAAGCAGGAATTGAAATGATACAAAGTGGGACTTTCCCATTTTAAATCCCTTGGGTGAACGACATGCACCTGCCCTGTTCCCACTCATGCATGTGTGTGATTTAGTGCCAAAGTGAAATGCTGCCTGAAAATGGGCTGACTGGCAGGGGCGGGGTGAGGAAATCGAGGAGCTATTGGGAAACAAGGACAAACACTGCCAGTCATTGCTTCTGCTAACACAGCGAGCCCTGTCCCTCTATAAAAAGGCAAAGAGTAGCCATCACGGACTCAGAGGAGACAGTCTCTGAGTAACGCTCCTGCAACACCTGGCTGCCAAGCTCAGGAGAGAAGGATGAAGTTTGCTCTCCATGCTGCGCTGTCCTTGGGGATATTGGGTAAGTGCCTGCAGAGCAGCAGTTTCGAGGTGGGGATGTCACTGACATTCTCAGCAGCCCCCGCACTAGCCAGAGACTGTGAGGAGGTTGCATAAAGGTGCCAGTTTAATTGCAGTGCACTGTAAACGCCAACAGTCACTGAACTGTGCAGAACAGAAACCAAAGGGAAAATAGCTGCTGGGTGCTGGACTGTATCAGCCGTTTGCCAGGGATCTTGCTGCCCAGAGTCACAATTTTAATGCTAATTACAGCAACTTTACCACAGTTCCTATTTTGCTAAAGGCCTGATCCAAAGCCCAGTGACAACCACAGGAGTTTTTCCATTGACTTCAATGAGCTTTGGATCAGGCCCTAAAACAGTCCGAAGGGAAAGGCTGCGGTTTCAGGTTTGCTCCTTATATGGCGCTCCTGCTGCAGGTATGGGTGGAGGTATGTCCCCCTGGTGGAGCGCTGGTGTAGGAAGAGAGTCACTGAAAGCCTTCCCTACAGAGGATGCACATGTGTTTAGAGAAGCTTCTTAAAATAATATTTAGCAAAGAATCTTTAATGTGAAAGTTACAAAAAAATTACTGCAGAACCTGTAGGCTCCTGTCTTTCTAACCTGTCCCACGTTCTTCTCGGGGGAGAGGGAGGTCTCTGCAGCTCAACTTTGGACCCCCTTCTTGTAAAGGGATGTGCCCCTTCACCCCCCCCCCCCCCCCCAATACCTTGCCTGAGAGTCCAGGGCTTGGATCTCCCCACAATACCCTGCATTGCTTGGGGTTATCTCAAAGAAGCTTCCACAATGGTGAAGCACTGGAATGGGTTACCTAGGGAGTTTGTGGAATCTCCTTCCTTAGAGGTTTTTAAGGTCAGGCTTTATAAAGCCCTGGCTGGGATGATTTAGTTGTGGATTAGGTCCTGCCTTGAGCAGGAGGTTGGACTAGATGACCTCCTGAGGTTCCTTCCAAACCTGATATTCTATGATTCTAATGGTCTGGTGCCACTAGTGACTGTAACCCCTTCTCTTCTACCCCAGCCCTGCTCAGCAAGATGAGGCTGTGAGGAGTGCCTCTCTTTCTTCTCCTAGGTCCAGAAAGGCCCACAAGTCTCCTTCCACTAGATATGTCTGTACTCCTGCCTTTGGAGCCCCTGCTCTTTCAGGCTCCTGGTTTCCTTTGTGCAAAAGGCTGACTGTGCTCATGACAAATCCGTCTCTCTCTCTCTCTCCTCTCCCGCCCGGACCCCTCTATTTGCTGATAATGAGGCCACCTCCCTGGCAGCGTTACTCTCGTAGCCTGATCGTGGGACCCTTGACTTAAATGGGAGGCAGTAGGGGGAAGGCATTTTAGAAATAGAACTGTAAGAAGAAAAACAGGCAGAGATTTTTTTAAACCAATCAGTAAAGGCAGAGATTTGAAAATAGAAGCCGGGAGTGGGACAACAATTAGAAACAAGCAGAAAAAGCACATGGACAATGGCAGAGTTTTACAGGTAAAACAAACAGAAGCAGGCCTGATTATTATACAGACATTCTATATTTTGCAGTGATTTGGAACAGGCAAGTTGTGCACACATTGCTGGCCTGTGTAGGGTTACCATACGTCCGGATTTTCCTGGACATGTCCGGCTTTTTGGGACTCAAATCCCCGTCCGGGGGGAAATCCCAAAAAGCCGAACATGTCCGGGAAAGTCCGGCGCCGCTGGGTGCTGGGCGGCAGGGGGCCCGGGGCCGGCGGTGCTGAGCGGCTGGGGGCCGGC